TGTATCTCGTTCTTTGTTTGCTTCTCTCTTTCTCTCTCTCTTTCTCTCTTTCTCTCTTTCTCGCATTCTCCCTCCCTCTCTCCGTCCCCCTCTCCCTCCCTCTCTCTCCCCCCCCCCCCTCTTTCTCTCCCCGCCATGCAGCAGGCGTAGGAAGCGGGACAGGGTCATCAGCACCACCACCAACACCGGGCGTCGCCGGCACCGCCGGCAGCAGCGGCGTCCCCCCCCTCCGGCCTAACAACGGGCAGGACACCCCCGCCGCCGCCGCCGCCGCCGCCGTTGTCAAGAAAAAGCCTGCACCACCGGCAACAGGCACCAAGAAAAAGGGAAAACTCCGCCTACCGTCAAGGAGAACGAAGGGCGGCGCCGGTAAGGGCGGGGGTGAGGGCGCCGCGCCAGCGGCGGCGACCTCAGCCGCCGAAGCAGCAGCAGCCAAATCTCCCAAATCTACGACGGTGAGATCTCCGAAGGCTAGGGCGGCGAGATCTCCGAAAGGGTGCGGCGCGGCCCTGGCCCCTACTACGGAGAGCAAGAAGAAGAAGAAGCAGCAGCAGGCGAGCGTGTGGGAAGGGTGTGGGTTTACCGGCGTGGGCGAACCTCTCAGCGCTGCATCGGCTCCCGCCGACGCTGCTGGTGATGACAAGGACGCCGCTACGGGCGCTTCCGCTTCGGGTGCCGTGGCTGCTGATATCGGTACGGGTTCTCGCGCTGCCGGTGCGGTAGGTGCTGATGATGACGCTGCGGAATCTCCCGCTGCGAATGATGATGTTGCTGATGGTGGCGCTAAGGTTGGCCCAGGACAGGAGGAGACCAGCGAATTATCATCACCATGCCCGGTGGAGCCATCGTCAACGGGCCAGAAGAGGCGAGCAGCGGGCGGGGGAGGGGGACACGCCGAGAGTGCCCGCTCCGAGACGCCGGGGGGGTGTGCTCGTGACGCCGCCGCCGGCAGCGGAGGCGATGGGCCTCCGCTCGAGGGCGATGATGACGGCGGCATGCCGGCCGTGTCGGAGCGGCTTGTACTTTCGGCCACCGTGCCCGCAAAGCAGAACGACGACCTCGGAGTCGACGGCGGCGATGCTGCCGTGCCGGGCGCAGCAGCGATAACGGCGGCGGCGGCGGCGGCGGCGGAAGGAGCGGCACCGCTAGCGGTAGCAGCGATAGAACCGGCGGTAGGGGAGGCGGTGACGGAGCAGGCGGTGCCTAGAGCCTCGGACACGGAGAAAGAGAACGGCGGCGACGTGCCCGTTGCGGCCGATCCAGGGACACCCGAATCGACACCAGTTCCGCCGCCTCCTTTGGCGGCCGCTGCAGACGAAGAAGCCCCCGAGGTTACTACCACTGCTGTAGCTGGCGATGGAAGTGTCGCCGGTGCCGCCACCGCCGTTGGTTCGGTTGTCAGCGATACTGGTGTTGTCCTTGCTGCTGCTGCTGCTGCTGCTGGTAGCAATGCTCGTTCTCCTGGCAGCGGCGGCAGTGATTGTGGCGTCCCTACTGCCGCTGGTGCTGGTGATGGTGATGGTGATGGTACTGTTGCGGCTGGTGCTGCTGGTGCTGCTTCTGCTCCTCCTGCTGCTGCTCCTGGTGCTGGTGCTGGTGCTGGTGATGGTACGGTTGCTGGTGCTGCTGGTGCTGCTGCTGTTGCTGCTGTTGCTGCTGATGCTGCTGTTCCCGTAGGCCGGGTGTCCAAGCGCGTCGCCGCCCGGGCGGCAGAGCAGGCCAAGGCGGCGGCGGCGGCGGCGGAAGCGGAGGCGGAGCTGGCGGCGGCGGCCCTGGAAGCGAAAGCACGCCGCAAAGAGGCCGTTGCCGCGGCTAAGAAGAGCAAGAAGAAGACTTCCAAGGCGGCAGCGGCGGCGACGACGATCATCTCCGGGGATTGCCCAACGGTGGTCTCCGGAGATCCCCTCCCAACGTCACACAAGAAAGGTATGTGTCGGGGCGAACTCGATGCAGATCTCCGGAGATACCCCAACGGTGGTCTCCGGAGATCCCCTCCCAACGTCACACGAGAGAGGTGTGTTTGGTGGGATAGTGCCTGCTACGATACAAGGGGAGGCGTCACAATCCGAAACCATTTTATTGTACATGTCCGTACTTGTCTTATATCATAGCCAGCATTGTAGCTGGCACTGTACTCGGCTCTCGATACGGATCTAGAGGGTTCCGGATGGTATTACCGGCACTGCTGTAAACGGCTCTAGATACGGATCTAAGTGGGTCCGGGGTATCATTGATGGTATTTGCATGATGTGTGTTTGTGGAAGGGGGCGATCGCCCTTCTGCGTGCATGGGCAAGGGTGCCCTGCATATTCTCTCTCTATTACCCATTGCTCCGCGCTTCCGACAAACCCCCGCCATGGACAAGCATGCACTGCTTACGTACCATGGTCCTGGAATCAACATTTTTTCTCTGCGCTTCTGACTACATCCCACCATGGGCATCCATGCCCTGCATACTCTCTCCAGCGCTCTCTCTGAACAAACCTTTTCTGCGATTGTCAAAACACCCTGCCATGGGTATGCATCCAGTGCTTACTCTCTCTCTAAACTCTCTCTCTCTGGACAATACCTCTTGCTCTGCGCTTGTGACACCATCCCGCCATGGGCATGCATGCCCGGCGTATTCTCTCTAACCCTCTCTCTCTGAACAACACCCTTTGCTCTACCCTTCTGACCAACAACCTTCCCGCCTACCGTCAGGAGCCGCCACCGGTATGACTACTTCCGCGGAAGGCGTTCCGCATGCCCCCAAGACCCGCGTCATACCGGGGAACATTCCGCCGGCTGCTGGAACGGCGGGTAAGCCCGCCAAGCTGGCCTCGATCTTCCTTCCCAGAGCGGGCGGCTGGGGGGGCGCGGCGCCTGCGGCGGGTCCGAAGCTGGCGCCGCTCTTCGTGCCCAAGAGGAAGGCTAGCCCTGAGACTGTTAGCGACGTCGGCGGCGGTGGTGGTGGTTGTCGTGGTGGCGGTAGTGGCGAGAAAGAGAAGGAGAAGAGCGGACGGAAGAAGGCTTCTCTTCCTTCTTCGGTGTCTCCTCCGAGCATAGAGGTGCGCTTACGACACACGCCCTGGACCACAAGTACCTGCAGTTTCTACGATGTCATGGCCGACCCTGCTTCACGTGTTTGCGTGACTTGGCCAGACACAGCCGACTTTGGTTTTGTTTGGGTCCGACGCCTGGTTAGATTTTGGCGGGGGCACTTTTGCGGTTGCGGCCCGTCTACACCCCGTCGCGTGCTGTTAGTTAGCTGTACGGTTAGTTCCTGCACTACTTGGGAGTGGTGTTCTGCGGTTGCCAGATTGAAAGTCTGATGTAGAGAATGCAAAGTATCGCTGGAGGGGTGGGCAGGGGGGCTCAGGTAGAGGAACCCTTTCTGTGTGACCGCGGGTTGGAGGAAACGGCACAAGTGCTGTGAGCGCTGATTTGAAGTGAAAAAAATAAAAAATAAAAACACGTAGGCAACGAGGACGACCTTATTGAAAGTCTTGTGTACCTCCCTACATATCCGCAGATCATGGACGTTGACGACGAGGACGCGGGCGACGAGGAGGTCCTAGTCGCCACTGTCCTGGAAGGAAACAGCAGCGGCAGCAACAGCAGCAGCGGCAGCGGCAGAAGGAAAAGAGCGTCGGAAATCGGTGCCGGAGGTGGTGAAACCGTCGACCTGGCGGCAGGGGGGCACGCAGACGACAACGAGGATGATGACGGGGGGTGGAAGGAAGCGTTGGCGGCAGCGGCGGCGGCGGCGCCAGTTAAGCCCCGTTCCAAGACGGTCACGGCCATGACGGACGACCAGCTCCTGTCTGCTGTGGAGTGAGTGCCGCCGCTGCTGCTGTTGTTGCCATGTGTCATTTTTTGTCAGTGATCATGCTGCCGTCGTTTTCTGTGTTGATCGGTCATCTTGGCACGCCACTTTTTTTTTCTTCTTTGAAGAAGAGAGCAAAGTTGCAGAGCCGAAGGACACCCAACCCCCCTTCACCCTCACCCTTCTCCATCGCCTCCCCTGGCTGGATACCCTTGAAATCATTCTCTTGATGATGGAGGACAACACCCCCCCCACTTTATCCTCTGGCTGGAAACCCTGGCATGGGCGTGATGGAGGGGGGTTGACGCCTCCCCTTCCCCCCTTTGCCTCCTCACGCTGGACTGATGGTGGAGGATACCACCCCCCGCTCTCTCCTTGTCTCCTCACGCTGACTGATGGTGGAGGATACTACCCTCCGCTCTCTCCTTGTCTCCTTGTCCCCTCTGGCCGGAATCCCTCACTCGGCACGTTCTTCATGCTTGATGCTGGATGGTGAAGGATTGACCCTTCCCCCGCTGATTGGAGACACTCACCAAGCGTGTTCACTAAGCGTATTCTTTGGCGGCAGCGTGTCCTTGAGACTGAAGGATTGACCCCTTCGCCCGCTGATTGGAGACACTCACCAAGCGTCTTCTTTGATGGTTTCACTAAGCGTCTTCTTGGATGGCAGCGTGTTCTTCTTGGAGAAGAATTGACCCCCCCCCCCCCCCCCCCTCCCCATCCCCCCTGCCTGGAAACCCTCACCCAGCATGTTCCTCACGACGGAACAGCGCAAGCGCAAGGAGGCGATAAAGAGGGACCAGGCGAAGAAACGCAAGGACATTGACGCGGCGAACAAGCTCCTGAGCGACAGGGCGCAGAGGGACTCCTGGGCCCACTCCGCCGCTTCCTTCTCCCCAGGTATCTACACGAAGCAAGATAATGTGCGGACGAGAATTTCGATCGGGGGCCCCGCAATATCGAAGAGCAAAGGGTTCGGCTGTTGCCGGCTCTTCAACATCTCATACGCATCCCACAAGTCAATGTTCTTGCATTCACAGGTCCAAAATTGACGTGGCCTGGATGCCCAGTGTAGAAACTGAGGTCTCGAACCTCCTCCTGTCCCCGTCCAAATCTATTGACGTACGAGTGTTTTGCTTTTTTTTTGCCTTGATTCGTTCTTTCTCTCCCTCTCTCTCTGTCTTTCCCTCGCTCACACACACTCTCTCCTCCTCCTCCCCCTCTCCATCTCCCTTCCTCTCTTCCTCTCGCTCTCTCTCCCTGCCCCTCTCCCGCTCTCTCTCGCTCTCTCTCCCCCAACCCAATCCCTCCCTCCCTCCCTCCCTCCTCTCCCCCCCACAAACACGACGGCCCACACCAGTCGACCTGACGTCGTCCGAAGGCGACAGGACCGCCAAGCGCCCCCGCTCCATGGCCTCCATCTTCGACAAACCCGTCCGACCAACGGGCGCCGAAGGCGCCGCTGCCGCCGCCGCACTAGCCAAACAGAGAGAGGAGAGCGGGTGTGGTCGCTGGAAGCCTACCCCGGCCCCGCTCCCCGTGTGCCGCCAACACCACCACCACTTCTTGTCGAAACCCGTCGATGACGATGTAGACTCAGGGGACGATGCTGCTGCTGCTGCTGCTGCTGCTGCTGCTGCTGCTGCTGCTGCCGCTTCCTCCTGCGGGGCTGATGGCGAGGAGGGTCGGCGGTTGCGGGCGGAGGGGGGGGAGGTTCTCTCCGGAGATGGTGGTCTTCCCGAAGCCTCTTCTTCTTCTTCCTCGGCGGCGAGCGAAGGTGTTTCGGCATCTGGGCAGGGTGTAGACGGTGACAGAGGTGGTGTTGGTTGTGCTGCCTGCGCTGTGATGGACGCTGACTTGTTGCGGTCACTGCGCCTGCCCGGTAGTGTCACCGGCACTAGCGGCGGCGGCGGCGGCGGCGACGGTGTTAGCACGGGCGGTGGCGTCTTGGGGGACATGAGCAGCAAAGACGGCAGGGGTGATGATGATGATGATGACGTCAGCATGGCGCCTCCTCCGCTTCCGACGGTGCCCTTGAGGGAGGCAGTCGAGGTCGCCGCCGCGGCATCCGAGAGAGAGGCCTCGGCTTGGAGCCGCGCCGTCACAGCGACAACAGCAGCAGCAGCAGCAGCAGCAGTGCCACCATCTACGGCGACAGCGGCGAGGAAGACCAACAGCAACGGTAGCGGCGATGGTGGTAGGGGGAGCGGATTTCTTGCGTCGCCCGCAGCCAGGCTGTTCGCCGGAGGCCCCGCTGTTGGTGCTAGTGGGAGAGGCGGCGGCGGTGAGCGGCGGCGGGGGTGTTGTGCA